TATTGCGAACCGCTCTTTCAGTTAATTGATATCATAAGAGACTACTAAGTTCACGGCAAACAATGTTTCTCTGCCCAATATAGCAATATTTTAACGATGTATTACTCGGTTTTAAGCTTCATTTAACTGGATGAGAAAGATCCTATCGCCTTTTGATATCTCTTGTCTCGAAAACATCTTGTGTACCAAAGCGATATCTCACGTTTTTAGATATAGATAGATAGATAGATAGACAGATAGATAGATAGACGTTTGCAATTCAGCTGCCATCTGAATTGCAAAGGTGTACAAATTATATAATAGAACTATATATACAATAAAATCAAACCTAAAAGGGAAATAATTTATAAATGTTAGTTAAAATGTCTTGCGCTGCTGGAATGAAAGTATCTCTGAACCGATTTGTTTTAAAGGAAACTCTAAATTGTCAGCGTCGTCTAACTCCGTAAGTTGGTCTTGGTTATGGAAAGGCAGTAAGTGGTATAAACAATCCAAGGGATTGGAGACGTTTTCTACCACTACACCTGATGGTTCACGTTGGATTGGGGTGATCATCGAAAGATGCATTGTTCGTAAAGTACAAAATTTTACCGATTAGTTAAGCTGTGGTGCAAATTGCAATCGTAAAATTAAGACTTCCTTAACCAGCTGCAGTTATATGTTGAAAGATCAAGGCACTTTTCGGTGTCCCACTCAATATGGATCGAGATGTGAACGAATAAAATTATCGCATATTAAACCTGATACCTGATTTCACGTTTATAGCTGCATCAATTCTGTATAGGCGACAAAATTGAGCACGTAAAACTAAGCTGCAACTAATACACTGGCATAATTTAAAAAATTAATGCTAAGCAGTCCCTGGCAGTGAGTTAAAAAAATCGACCAGAACTTGACATATAAGACCACAAATACTCAAGATAAGAAATGATCTTCACAAGTGGACTGCAATCATAGCAATTGCAGTAAAAAAGCCTGAAGAAATTACTCATTTAAACAATGTTATTATTCCCTGTGATATTTGACTTGCATTGAGCACTGCCTGTCGCCAGCTATCATAGTGTATAGAAATCTCATTGTCACTGGTAATGATATAATTATAAATTCTATTTAAATGCCTGGGATATCAACTTTCTTAATAAGAGATTCAAACTTAAGTCAATAAATACTGATATGAGTCAGCACCTTCTTTGCCATTAAGCTCAGAAATTGGAATTTGATGGGGTTGTTAAATTTGTAAAGTATAAGGACCCTGTACTCTTTGTGGGCAGAACACAACTTACGTCTGATGATCACTTGTGCTTTAAACTGGAGTTTATATACATCTCTATCTTTCAAGGTTATATCAAATCTACGTGTATGTTTTGTGAATCCAGATACTTATAAGATATCAGATCCTTCTCAGGGGTGTTTAAACTTTCACATTTAAAACACCATCCAATATTACCCTCAGGCTAATGATAACTTCCACTTACATTGTCAAAATGGCAGCCAATCTTGCTGACAACAGTCTTTTTCCAAGACTATCTTTACCCAAACAAGCGGACTATAAATGATAAACTGTTCCTCTAGGGTTTAAGTTGTTTACCGCATCTTAAAGCAGACGTGTAGAACTAGTCCTCCATTTTTGTCATAACGAGGGCAAAATTAAAGGAAAAATGTTTGCTCTAACTTAAAACCACGAAAAAAATAAGCTCTGAAGTAAGAAAAGTCAAATTTTGCAGGAAGATATCATATCCCTAACACAGGTGATATCACAATGAGACAAATTATCAAGAAGGCTGTGCATGAATTGAGATAAAATTATAATCTTGAGTGTTTCAACATCTATAACCATCAAAATAAAAGAGGTAATCACTACAAGTAATGTTTCCTCCCCAAAAAGTTGAACTCAACCCTAAGTAGTGTTGCAAATTTTAAAAACAAACTTCTTAGCTGAAAATAAAACAGGCAAATTGATAAACCTGGTTACCATGATGACAGAATTGTCATTTTCACCTCTGAGGATTTAAAGATGATACATTCACCGGACGTAAGGAATCTCATATTTTTTGCAAGAGGAGAAAATCTGATATTTTGTCAATGAAAGTATTATATTTTAGTTTGGTACTTCCTCTTTGAAATCTCTGAGGAATTGTCAGTGGGATGGTCACTCTAGCTGATCTACTGAATGATAAAATAGTTGATAATTTACACAAGATAGTGATGTTTTTTTTTTTTTCGTGAGGCAGTCAAACAATTCTTTATGCAGATTTAGCTCTCTGTTGCTTTAATAATTAAAGTCCTGACATATTTAAGCCCATGGATGACAGGAAGGAAATAATTTTAATTATTTTATTAAGATATTGATATTACTTGCAATGCACTGAACACCTGTGAAAAACAATGTGTCACAGTATATTCATTTTGACAACCATAAGCTGTCTTCACTACAAGACTATTTCTCAAGACACAAAAAAACTTGCACAAATTTATCTCCCCTGGCACTCAAATGGACTATAGCAATTATTAGTCAAAATGTAGCCATGTGTGAATGTATGTGAAGTATACTCTGCGCTATTACTCACAGAAGATCAACCTTTATTGTACGGTTTGCACACTCTAGTTTTACATGTGCTATTGTGCAATCGAGAGACACCAGAACTCCGCTTACATAAAGTATAGCTTAAACACGAAGCGAAATCTAAACTGCTACGTCAGTATGGAACACAACATACATTGCAGATGTAATGCAATTTTAAAAAGAAATGCAATACCACAAGCCAGGTTAAGTTCTAACTTTTACAGACTGAAAATATTTGAAAGGAAGATATTACTCATCCCATCATGACCACGCACCCCACCCCCACTAACTCAGAACTTTTCATTCTGTGCTCTGTTGCTTTAATTACCATTAAGCTGTAGAAGCTTCTGTAATGAGTTAAGCCATTTCTTACATATTAAGTTTAATTTGTATGTGAAGCATGTCCAGCATGTTTGGAATTCAGCAATGTAAATTGTCACAAAGGTGTACAAATTATATAATAGAACTATATATACAATAAAATTAAATCTAAAAGGGAACTAATTTATAAATGTTAGTTAAAATGTCTTGCGCTTGCTGGAATGAAAGTATCTCTGAACCGATTTGTTTTAAAGGAAACTCTAAATGGTCTGCGTCGTTGTAACTCCGTAAGTTGATCTTGGTTATCGAAAGGCAGTAAGTGGTATAAACAATCCATGGGATTGGAGACGTTTTCTACCACTACACCTGATGGTTCACGTTGCATTCAGGGGTGATCATCGAAAGATGCATTGTTAGTAAACTACAAAATTTTACCGATTAATTAAGCTGTGGTGCAAATTGCAATCTTAAAATTAAGACTTCCTCAACCAGCTGCAGTTATATGTTGAAACATCAAGGCACTTTTCGGTGTCCAACTCAATATGGATCGAGATGTGAACGAATAAAATTATCGCATATTAAACCTGATACTTGATTTCACGTTTATAGCTGCATCAATTCTGTATAGGTGACAAAATTGAGCACGTGAAACTAAGCTGCGACTAATACACTGGCATAATTTAAAAAATTGATGCTAAGCAGTCCCTGGCAGTGAGTTAAAGAAATCAACCAGAACTTGACATATAAGACCACAAATACTCAAGATAAGAAATGATCTTCACAAGTGGACAGCAGTCATAGCAATTGCAGTAAAGAAGCCTGAAGAAATTACTCATTTAAACAATGTTATTATTCCCTGTGATATTTGACTTGCATTGAGCACTGCCTGTCGCCAGCTATCATACTATAGAAATCTCATTGTCATTGGTAATGATATAATTATGAATTATATTTAAATGCCTGGGATATGAACTTTCTTAATAAGAGATTCAAACTTAAGTCAATAAATACTCTTTGTGGGCAGAACGTACACAACTTACGTCTGATGATCACTTGTGCTTTACACTGGAGTTTATATACAACTCTATCTTTCAAGGTTATATCAAATCTAAGTGTATGTTTTGTAAATCCAAGTACTTGTCAGATATCAGATCCTTCTCAGGGGTGTTTAAACTTTCACATTTAGAACACCATCCAATTTTACCCTCAGGCTAATGATAACTTCCACTTACGTTGTCAAAATGGCAGCCAATCTTGCCTACAACAGTCTTTTTCCGAGACTATCTTTACCCAAACAATTGGACTATGAAGGATAAACTGTTCCTCTAGGGTTTAAGTTGTTTACTGCATCTTAAAGCAGATGTGTAGAACTAGTCCTCCATTTTTGTCATAACAAGGGAAAAATTAAAGGAAAAATGTTTGCTCTAACTTAAAACCACAAAAAAATAAGCACAGAAGTAAGAAAAGCCAAATTTTGCAGGAAGATGTCATATCCCTAACACAGGTGATATCACACTGAGGCAATTTATCAAGAAGGTTGTGCATGAATTGAGATAAAATTATTATCTTGAGTGTTTCAACATCTCTATAACCATCAAAATAAAAGAAGTAATCACTACAAGAAATGCTTGCTCCCAAAAAAGTTGAACTCAACCCTAAGTAGTGTTGCAAATTTAAAAAAAAAACTTCTTAGCTGAAAATAAAACAGGCAATTTGATAAACCTGGTTACCATGATGACAGAATTGTCATTTTCATCTCTGAGGATTTAAAGATGATGCATTCACTGGACGTAAGGAATCTCATGTTTTTTGCAAGAGGAGAAAATCTGATATTTTGTCAATGAAAGTATTATATTTTAGTTTGGTATTTCCTCTTTGAAATCTCTGAGGAATTGTCAGTGGGATGGTCACTCTAGCTGATCTACTGAATGAAAAAATAGTTGATAATTTACACAAGATAGTGATGTTTTTTTTTTTTTTCCTTGAGGCAGTCAAACAATTCTTTATGCAGATTTAGCTCTCTGTTGCTTTAATGATTAAAGTCCTGACATGTTTAAGCCCATGGATGACAGGAAGGAAATAATCTTAATTTATTAAGATATTGGTATTACTTGCAATGCACTGAACACCTGTGCAAAATAATGTGTCACAGTATATTCATTTTGACAAACATAAGTGGTCTTCACTACAAGACTATTTCTCAAGACACAAAAAAACTCGCACAAATTTATCTCCCCTGGCACTCAAATGGACTATAGCAATTATTAGTCAAAATGTAGCGATGTGTGAATGTATGGAACACAACATACATTGCAGATGTAATGCAATTTTAAAAAGAAAAGCAATACCAGAAGCCAGGTTAAGTTCTAACTTTTACAGACTGAAAATATTTGAAAGGAAGATATGACTCATCCCATCATGACCACGCACCCCACCCCCACTAACTCAGAACTTTGCTTTCCGTGCTCTGCTGCTTTAATTACCATTAAGCTGTAGAAGCTTCTGTAATGAGTTAAGCCATTTCTTACATATTAAGTTTCATTTGTATGTGAAGCATGTCCAGCATGTTTGGAATTCAGCAATGTAAATTGTCATATTATATTGCCATATCATGTTCCCACCAATAANGTGAAAATCGAAAACCACAAGCCAAAACTGAATTTCTACTAATCTGTGGCTAATTGGCTTAACCGTTAGAGTCGAGCCCTGGCATGTACATGTAGTTTCATTCCTCTAATTCAATAATATACTTTCTTGTTTTTGTAGGTTGTTCATTGAGACGGAAGACAACTGCTTCAGTATGTATCATGTTATAGTACTGAATAAATTCTGGTCTAAATAAACTCACAAATGTAAAATTAATTTATGTCTCAATGTGAGACTTGCAATACTAACAGTAATAATTTGTACATATCGTTTCAAATTAATGAAAACTTAAGCCTTATCGTATTTGGTAGACAATATGGTTGAGCTCAGCGACCCTGTATTCTTAGTTGTTCCGTGTAGCTTCTTTGATGATCTTGAGTCAATGGTGCGTGTGTAAACAAAAGTACAGTTAAATGAAACTTTTCACTAAATGTAAGTGTCATTAAACACTTGACCTGTTTTAAACTCTACAAACATAAGCAGAGTTTGT